ACAAAGACACCATATAATAATAAAGGGGACAATCCAACAAGGAGGTAAAAATTATGAACATTTATGCACCCAACATGGGAGCACCCAAATACGTAAAACAGTTAATAACAAACATTAAAGAACTAATTGGTAATATCCAATAATAGTAGGGGACTTTAACACCCCACTTGCATTAATGGACAGATGGTGTAAACAGAAAATCAACAAGGAAACAATGGCTTTGAATGGTACATTGGGTCAGATGGACTTAACAGATATATTGAGAACATCCCACCCTAAAATAGCAGAATACACATTCTTTTCAAGTGCGCATGGGACATTCTCCAGAATAGATCACATATTAGCCCACAAAACAAACCTCAACAAATTCAAGAAGAATGAAATCGTACCTTGCACCTTTTCTGACCACTAGGCTATGAAACTAGAGGTCAACCACAAGAAAAAGCTGGGAAGAGCACAAGTACATGGAGGTTAAATAACATGTTACTAAACAATGAAAGGGTCAAACAGGAAATCAAAGAAGAAATAAAAAAGTACACAGAAACAAAAATGAAAACACAACAACCCAAAACCTTTGGGATGCAGCAAAAGCAGTTCTAAGACGGAAGATTATAGCAATGCAGGCCTACCTCAAGAAGCAAGAAAAATCGCAAATAACCTAATCTTCCACCTAAAGAAGCTAGAAAAAGAACAACAAACAAAACCTAAAACCTGTAGAAGGAAGGAAATAATAAAGATTAGAGCAGAAATAAATGAATAAATGAATAAATGAATAAAAAAACAGCAGAAGAGATCAATGAAACCAGGAGCTGATTCTTTGAAAAGATCAACAAAATTGACAAACCTCTAGCCAGAATTATCAAACATAAAGGGAGAGAGAGAGATTGAGAGAGAGAAAGAGAAAGGACTCAAACAAAATCATGAAAGAAAGAGGAGAAATAACAACAAACACCACAGAAATACAATTATAAGAGAATATTATGAAAAACCAAAATGCCAATGAATTGAACAACCTAGAATAAATGGATAAATGCTGAGAAACATACACCTACCAAAACTGAAATAGGAGGAAATAGAAAATTTGAACAGCCTGATAACCAGTAAAGAAATTGAGTCAGTACTCAAAAAATTCCCTAAGAGCAAAAGTCCAGGAACACATGGTTACACAAGTGAATTCTACCAAATATTTAAAGAGTTAATATCTATTTGTCTCAAACCATTCCAAAAAACTGAAAAGGAAGGAAAACTTCCAAATTCATTCTATGAGGCCAGCATTACCCTGATACCAAAACCAGATAAAGAAACCACCAAAAAAGAGAACTACAGGCCAATATCCCTGATGAACACAGATGCAAAAATCCTCACCAAAATACTAGCAAACCAAATCCAACAATACATTAAAGAAATCATTCACCATGATCAAGTGGGATTTATTCCAGGGTTGCAAGTCTGGTTCAATATTCACAAATCAATCAATGTGATACATCACCTCAATAAGAGAAAGGATAAGAACCATATGATCATTTCAAAAGATACAGAAAAACATTTGACAAAGTCCAACATCCATTCATGATAAAAACCCTCAACAAAGTAAGTTTAGAGGGAACATACCTCAACATAATAAAGACCATATAGGAGAAACCCACAGCTGACATCATCCTTAATAGGGCAGAACTGAGACCTTTTCCCCTAAGGTCAGGAACAAAACAAGGATGTATACTCTCACCACTTTTATTCCACATAGTAGTGGAAGCCACAGCAATCAGACAACAAAAAAGACATAAAAGGCATCCAAATCAGTAAGGAAGAAGTAAAACTTTCACTATTTGCAGATGACTATGTAGAGAACTTGAAAGACTCCACCAAAAAACTGCTAAAACTGATACGCGAATTCAGTCAAGTCACAGGATACAGAATCAATGTACAGAAATCTGTTGCATTTCTATACACCAATAATGAAGCAACAGAAAGAAAAATTAAGACAATAATCCCATTTACAATTTTACCCAATATAATAAGATACCTAAGAATAAACTTAACCAAAGAGGTGAAAGATCTGTACTCTGAAAACTATAAAACACTGATGAAAGAAATTGAAGATGACAGAAAGAAATGGAAAAATATTCCATGCTCATGGATTGGAAGAACAAATACTGTGAAAATGTCTATACTACCCAGAGAAATCAACAGATTTAAAGTAATCCCTATCAAAATACCAACAGCATTTTTCACAGAACTAGAACAAACAGTCCTAAAATTTGTATGGACCCACAAAAGACCCCAAGTAACCAAAGTAATCTTGAAAAAGAAAAGCAAAGTTGGTGGACTCCAAGTTATATTACAAAGCTGTAGTAATCAAAACAGTATGGACTGGCACAAAAATAGACACATAGATCAATAGAACAGAATAGAAAATAAACAGAAATAAACTCACAATTATATGGTCAATTAATCTTTGGCAAAGCAGGAAAGAACATCTAATGGGAAAAAGTCTCTTCAGCAAATGGTGTTGGGAAAACTGGTCAGCTACATGCAGAAAAATGAAACTTCTTACACCATGCACAAAAATAAATTCAAAATGGATTAAAGACCTAAATGTGAGACATGAAACCATAAAATCCTAGAAGAGAGCACAGGTAGTAATGGCTCTAACACTGGCTGTAGCAACATTTTTCTAGATATGTTTCCTGAGGCAAGGGAAACAAAAGCAAAAATAAACTATTGGGACTACATCAAAATAAAAAGCTTCTACACAGTGAAGGAAACAATGAACAAAGCTAAAAGGCAACGTATGGAATGGGAGAAGATTTTTGCAAATGATGTATCTGATAAAGGGCTAATATCCAAAATATATAAAGAACTTATCAAACTCAACACCCAAAAAACAAATAATCCAGTTAAGAAATGGGTGGTAGACATAAATAGACATTTTTCCAAAGAAGACATCCAGATGGCCAACAGACACATGAAAAGATGCTCAACATCACTTATCAGGGAAATGCAAATCAAAACTACAATGAGATATCACCTCATGACTATCAGAATGGCTAAAATCAACAACACAAGAAACAACAGGTGTTGGTAAGGATATGGAGAAAAAGGAATCCTTACGTACTGTTGGTGGGAATGCAAACTGGTGCAGCCACTGTGGAAAAGAGTATGGGTTTTCCTCAAAAAGTTAAAAATAGAAGCACCTTACGATCCAGCAATTTCACCACTGAGTATTTACCCAAAGAATACAAGAACATTAATTCAAAGGGATAGGGGCACCCCTATGTTTATAGTGGCATTATTTACAATAGCCAAGATATGGAAGCCACTCAAGTGTTCATTGATTGATGAATGGATAAAGATGTGGTGTGTGTGTGTGTGTGTGTGTGTATAATATTCCATTATATTTGTATAATAGAATATTATTATTCAACTGTAAAAAAGAATGAAATCTTGCCATTTGCAATGACATGGATGGAGCTAGAGAGTACAATGCTAAGGGAAAAAAGTCAGTCAGAGAAAGACAAATGCCATATGATTTCATTCACATGTGGAATTTGAGAAACAAAACAAAAGAGCAAAGAGGAAAAAAGGAGAGAGAGATAGAAAGAGAGAGACAAATCAAGAAATAGTCTCTTAAATATAGAGTACCATCTGATGGTTATCAGAGGGGAGGCGGGTGGGGCGATGTGTGAAATAGGTGATGGGGGATTAAGGAGTGTACCTGTTGTGATGAGCATAGCATGATGTATGGAACTACTGAATTACTATATTGTACACCTGAAGCTAATGTAAGACTGTATGTTAGCTCACTGGAATTAAAATAAAAACTTAGAATAAAACAAAACAAAGAAAAAAAATGAGGCCTCAGTGGAGGAAGGAGTGTCTAGGGTTACCAGGAAAAGTAGTGGCATCATTAGATATCTAGAAGAAGATCAGAACTTAAGAAGACAGCAGATTAGCCTGATAGCCCAGAGGACCCAGACAGAGGGACTATAGGACGATGATGTAGAGGGCACAGCACAGAAGCTTAGAATTGCCATGGGTGAGGAGTGGTAGGCAGGACATGATGGCAGAGACCTTCTGGGTCCCAACAAAGAAAACTCCCATAGCAAAACTAAATTGGAGCACCTGAATCCTTATGCCTCACCTACCTACCCTGAGAGATCTCAGTAGTTGTCTCGAGCCTAAGAGATCCCCAAAAGCTGGAAGACTTGACTAAAATTTTGATGTTTTACACATAGGAATTTTCCTTTCAGTAATTTTTCCTAATGGCATATCTAGAGTAGTGTCCAAACATGTACATAAGTGGATATTCACCACCATTTTGTTTATAATAGCAAAAAAATTTGGAAAATGGGTCATTTGTTTCTTATATTTTTCTATATTTTAAATTTTGTAACAAACTGTGTAACTTTTATAATCATAAATCAAGAATAAAACACAAAAAGATGCAAGCAAAGTAATAGAAAATTACTTGGAAAAGCCTTCCTCAGATCATTTTATTCCTATTATTATAAAATACTGTTTGTAAGAATTAAGTTAGAGATAACATTTTGAAATCTTCCCCATGTACCATCCTTATTAATAATCTAGTTTCTTTCCTTACAAGCTTTCAGTTATTGTTGGCCCATGGAAAGAAAGTCCTATGTCACCTGGGGAAGGCAGTTCCTATCAAACAGGCAGGGGTGCTGGTAGGAGCTTAGAGATTAGAGATTAGAGAGATTAGAGAGATTAAAGCAAGGGTGAAGAGATCACCTGCATCCCTGAGAAGAGCCTCAGTTCTCTTATCTCTTATCTGTGTGTCAGCAGTGAAATTATAACCTCCCTCAACATGCAGGCACCATGGGTAGTCCAACTTTGTATAACTAGTACTGAAAACTTAGAGATGTATATAACAGGTACTCAAAAATACTTATTATTAAGTGCATGATTAATTAGCCTTGTTTTCTTACTTTCATTTTAAAACTTTCAAAGTAAGTTAAAAATTTTAGTTAGAATATACTTACAATTGAACCAAAGGGTGAAACTTTTCTCCGAAATCAAGTCTCAATGGGCAGCCATATTTTTTCCAATTATATTTTACTCTCTAGAAAAGGAAAAATGCTTTAGTTATTTTCTATATTTGGCTGGTTGATAAAATTATAGTTTTCTTACCAAGTTTTTAGATGGTTGATTCCTCAGGTATGACCTATAAAAAAGACATTTTTCATTACTTATTTTTCTTTCCTCTTTTTAAACTTAAAAATTAAAGCCATTACTTTGTTCAGTAAGGAGGTATCACAAAAATTAAACAAATAAACATAATTACAAAATACTCCCCAATTGTGTGGAGATTAAATACACACTTCTAAATAATACATGCATCAAAGAAGAAATCTTAAGAGAAATTTAAAGATTTTGAATTAAATGAAAATGAAAACACAACATCAAAATTTGTGAGATGCAGCAACAGTAGTACCTAGAGGTAAATTTGTAGCAATGAACATATATATTAGAAAAGATTGATGTTAATAGGAATAAATACTAGCTGATTCTAAATTATTGGTACTAATAACTAATATAAAACAATGCTTATGTTAAAAATATTTCTTACTTTTCAAGGGGAACCCTCCTACACTGTTGGTGGGAATGCAAGCTGGTGCAGCCACTCTGGAAAACTGTATGGAGGTTCCTCAAAAAGTTGAAAATAGAG